TGACAAAATGTTTGTCGGATTGCAAAACTTTATCACCATATGACATTCGTGGAAATCATAGCAAAAAAAAATTCGATGTGGGGGGGGGGATACATATAAGCAAGTGGCTATAAACCGGATGCGATGTTCTACACCCGAAGTCATGTGAGCCCGGTGAACGGTAAAATCAAAAATAATGGGGAAATAAAAAAATATGAATTTGTTTTTGGGTGTGAAACATTGACAAAATGTTTGTCGGATTGCAAAACTTTATCACCATATGACATTCGTGGAAATCATAGCAAAAAAAAAACAAATTCGATGTGGAGCATTCATTTTGTTTTTTTCGTCACGATTTATACGAATGTCATATGGTGATGAAATTTTGCAAGCCCACAAACATTTTGTCTGACCGTCCCCTCCCGGTGGTTCTCCGGCGCAGGGCGGAGCTGCACCGGGGGGTGCTCCTAGGCGGCGACGGACCGGGTGGCGGCAGGGTTCCCTGTCGTGGCGCGGGCGGGCGGCTGGACGGCGGCGGCGTCGTTGGCGGCGGGGCGGCGCTGCGGTGGGTCCTGGCGGCGGCACTCGGCCCAGATCTGGGCCCTACGGGCCCCATCTGGGCCTGGGCGGGCCGGCGGCGGGGCTGATCCGTGGCGACTCTTCCGAGAGGCGGGGGAGCAGCGCTGAGCGGCGAGGTGCTGGCGGCGCCGGCGCCAGCCTGCTGCAGCATGGCCGGCGGGGCTTAGCGGGCCCGTTGAGGGCCTGGCCGGGCCTGGGGTGGCCTGGTTTGCCCCGCTGCCGTGTCTGGACGGCAACCGCGACTGTGCCGGAGGCGCGGGCCTCTCGCACGACGGCGGAGGAGGAGGTTCCCTCCCGCTCGGCCTTGGCGTTGCTGCTCCTGTCGCTTGGCTCTTCTCTCTGGCCTTCTTGGCCTCGTGTTGGTGCTCGTGTTGGTGCTCTTCTCTCCATGTTTGTAGAAGAAAAAATCAGATTTGTTTTCCACCTCTAAAACTAAAATGAAGATGTTCAAATTAAAAATAAACACAAGAGTCTGATGTTTATAATAAATTGTATTTTTTGTTTCTAAAAATAAAGCCTACAAGTTCAAATTATAATTACAAAGCAGTTCGATGCTTAATAAAAAATTCAAAATTTCTAAATTGGGAGTTTTAATCTAAAATAGTAGACCAACATTATTTTCATAAGAAAATATTTTCTAGTTTCTAAATAAATCTGAGAAATTAAAATTAAAATAACAAAGCATTTCGATGTTTATTAAAAAATATATAAATTTCTGTTTTCTAAAATTACAATAACAAAGCATTTTGATGTTTACTAAAAAAACATATCAGTTTGATGTTTATTAAAAAAAATCCATTTCTAAAATAATGAAAACCTAGAAATTAAAATTATGATAAAGGAGTACTTTGATATTGAGAAATGAAAAGCATATTTCTATAAATAAGATGGAGAATTTCAAATTATGGTAACAGAGTTGTTCAATCTGTTCAAAAAATGTCAGATTTTACTATTTCTTGAAAGAAACCAAGAAGTTCAAATTAATATAACAGGTAGTTCAATGTTTATGAAAATCTCATTTACATGTTTAGAACGCCAAAATTGATGTTCTTTTGGTGTTTTTAAGACTACTCATGAACAGCAGTGAATTAAAAAAAAGGCTAGACGGAAAGTTGTTTCTAGTCTATTCCAACAGTAAATCATACACATTATTCTGATAAAAATATTAAAATAAATTAGTGTGTGCCATTTGAAACGAGTCTTACCGTATTAAAAATGTATTAAACGGTCGCGAATTTGAAAAACTACTGAACATGGAAAAGTTGCACATTTTCAACAACTTACATAAATAGTTTATTCAGTACTGTAGTTGCTGACAGTTTATTCCATATATTTGGTGAAACTTAGAAATAGTTATGTTTTTTAACCAAATTTATACACCATTTATTTTGGGGCAAGGGAAGTAAGGCAGTATTTTTTTTTTCTGCGGCGGGTGGAAGTAAGGCTTGGTGGTGTTTCTCTCAGTAGTTTTCGTTAAAAAAAAAAGTTTCTCTCACTAGGCTTGGTGGTGTTTCTATCAAATCAAACCTTTTTAAAGAAAGGAGGATGTGATCGTTTTTTGGAGTACTTAAACTTTGAACATTGATTTTGTTCTGGCTATTGACATTGATTAGTTTCTCCTGCATTTTGGTTTGCTAGTAACTTGACTTCCCGATACGTTTGCATATGCAGTTCACAGCGTGCAACGACATAAATCAAGCATTCAAATTTAAACGAGATGGTGAACGCTACCGCTTTAGTCAAATCCTTCTTCGTCATGCCGAAGGAGAACACTTACATTTTGTTCCGCATCGAATTCCTGGTGGTAATCACCACATTGATATTCCTTGGGATGTCCATCCTGGACATATTTCGCGGCCAATTTCACAGCGCCATAGGCAAAGCCATATTGAGTATTGTTGATGGTGTCTCCGACTCTATAGTGATATACGTCATGGGGGTAATGCAAGCAGCACCATTCAAGAATCAGTTGTTCCCCGTGTGGGCCATCGTGCTGGTTAGCTTCCGACACAGCAGTGACTTCATCTCTGGATATGGCATTCGGGACAAAGATGGGCGACGGTTTAACGAATGGAGGAATGTGATGAAGCTTCTGGGGGTGGCATTCTTGAACAAAACACGTGGCTCGACGTTTGCCTATCCTCTTTGGTCACTTTGGAGCATGCAGGTATTGAGGAGCAAGTACAGATTATTTGCGCGCAACCAGGCATTCAGGTCTTTCTGGCATGGCAAGAGCTCCCAACTAATTTCAGAGTACATGCGGACTGATACACATTGGGAGAACTTCAAGCTTAAGGACTGGAAAGCAGAGACTATGGAAGGACACAGATACTTGGTCTATGGGGAAACAAGGAGGCATATCAAATTTAAGAAGCCTCGGTACGTTTTACAGATGGATACAAACCCACAAGAAACCCGGGCCAAGGCCAGGGCTAAGGTCAGGGCTGCTCGGGGTCTGGCCCCAGTCGAGGCAGCGGTTAGGCCTTTCACGGAGTCACTAGTCACACTGGACAGGATATGGCAATGTGATGGCGCCCTGCTACACCAGGACAGCACCCAGGGAGACAATATGAAGGATTTGGCACTCGCCTTCTCCCTATCCAGGCTGCTCCGGTGCAGGCTTGAAGACGTGTCGCTGCATAAAGGCAGCACTACTCCCATCACCAAAAATCTTGTCATGTTGAGGATCATACAGGAAGAGGCCAACCGAGCATTTGGGGTTATGGAACTGGAAATGTCCTTCGTCAATGACTACTTTAACACTCGCTACCCTATAGTCTTCTGTATGGGGTTTCCTTCGCTCCATTTGAACACCATTATGTCTGTTGCAACCTTTGCATTCACCTGCTGGCTTTCTGTGGACATACGGCGTGTTTACAAGACCCCCAAGGATGAAATATCTCATGTGATACGCGGTATAAATGTTGATATGATCATCACATGGTTTTTCATGTCCTTAATGATGTTCAAAGAGGTCTGGGAGATGGTCTCATATTTCCTGTCAGACTGGACAAGATTACTCCTTGTATGCACATATGTGCGGTGGGCGAGAAGGTACATGAGGAATGGCTGTATGGAGAAATTCATCAGTTCCTTTTTCACATCAAAGATTGTTGACACACGGGGCCATGGAGTCCTTGACCAATATGCCTTCTTGCAGTCATATAATGAGAGCCCAACAATCTGGAACTGCGTACACATAGTTTCTACAGGGGCAATTCCAAAGAAAGAAGCGGGAGCACAACTTAGTGACCACATCAATATTCCAGAATGTGTTAAGCCCGCAATCCAGGAGGCACTATGCACCCTGGATCTCACCCGTGCTCATCTGCCCGGCGTCATTCCGTCACTCTTGGCTGAATCAAGGGAACGGTATAGATGGCCCTGCATTGAGCAACCAACATCCTCTCACGTTATTTTGGTGTGGCATATTGCGACCAGCCTATGTGAGATCAAGTTTGCACAGGACCGTGACATCGACTTGAGCAACCCAGGGGTTCCACTTAGAGCCTTGCTATACTTGACAAGTTTCTGCCGCTCTGCCCAGCCATACCTTGTGGACGAGAACATGCTTGATGGCAGCCTCAAGACTAGGTACATAGTTGCAAATAGCTTGTCACGGTATTGTGCATATCTGCTGGTAGCAAAGCCTGACTTGCTGCCTGACAGCTTTCTTGTGCCCAAGTTGATCCACCAAGAAACCGTGAAAGATGCTCGTCAAATTCTCAAAGGCTCTGACTCGCTAGACAAGAAGTACAAGACACTCATTGATGAAGCTGGGAAGAGAAACAAAGACACCAGCAATTCAAAGGAGATCATGGGTGTAGTGCACCAAGGTGCAAAATTGGCCAAAGAACTTATTGATAATGAGAATGAAGAAAGTTGTTGGGAGATAATGGCTGGGGTGTGGGCAGACTTGCTGGTACACATTGCCCCCAGTTGGAATGCGGCGGCACACAAGAAGTGCCTTGATTCAGGAGGGGAGTTCATAACTCACATCTGGGCACTACTTTGCCATTGCGGAATCGACACGAGCATGTTGTGGCCTGTAGAAGGTTTGCGTAAGAACGATTCCCATGGAGCACCTTGGAACAGCAATGCTGAAAATAACATCTCTCAGACACCGCAAGATGCACATGCAATGGAAAGGGATGACAAGCAAGGAATTCTAACTGCAGCCACGGCAGATGGGGTGAGCTTTGTGAATGGGAACACCCATATGATCAGAGGGATGCCGAATCTGGGGAACACATGCTACTTCAATGCGGTTTTGCAGAGCCTCCTTGCACTAGGTGAGCTGCGCGTCAAGTTGTTGGAACAGAATCCTCCTGCAGGATGTCTTCATTTGGAACTGAGGAAGCTCTTTGAAGAGGCAGCTGGTGGTGCCAATGATGCAAGTGGCACGCTAGATACACAGAACTTATTCTCAATTATGAGCTCAATGTATCCAGATTTGAATGTCCGTGATATGGAAGACAGCAACACTCTGCTTGTCTACTTGCTAGATGGTTTGAGTAATGAGGAACCTACAATAGTGGAGTCCCTCTTCCGAGGCCAGATTGCTGAACATGTCTCCAGCAAAGAATGTCAGCACACTTTGGTTACTACACAGGTCCTTCATCTGAGTCTGGCAATACCATCAAAGCAACACGTATCAGTAGAAGACTGTTTGGATTTACATGTCACCGGGGAGATCAACGGTTGGTACTGTGAAACATGTTCTGCTGCTTATGGAAATGCTTCATCGAACCAAGAAGATGCTGTAGTTGATGAAGACCAAACTCAACAGTCAGATAGTGCAACATACCAGATCAGGGAGCATTCCAGCCATCCAGCTGAGCAACAAACAAGTGCAGCTAATCAGGACAAAGGAAAGCTACCAATGCTGAATGATGATGCACATGCAATGGAACTGGAGCAAAACCAAAAGAAACATAAAGAGGAAAATAAGATATACAGAGCTGCAAAAGTACACTTCCTCATTACGAAGGCGCCACCTTTATTAACCATTCAGCTCAAGAGGTTTGACTATGTTACCCCTGGTAGGTCAGACAAGTTGGATGAACATGTGAGATTTCACGAGATTCTTGATATAACGAAGTTCATGGACCCCAGGTACTGATACTTCTTTTCAGTTAGATAACAACTGCCTTTTTTTTTTAAATACATAGAGGTTCAGCAGTAGCGTGTCACATCCGAGATAAGGTCTTGCTGGACGTAACATGGGTAGAACTATTCAAAAAAATGTATTTTTGATCACTTTAATTTCTGTATTTTCAGATGTGCAGCAGATGACGTTTACAAATATTGGCTTGTTGCTGTCATTGTTCATAAAGGGTCAAAATTGTCTGAAGGACACAACTATTCTTATGTGAGAGCAAGCAGCATTGAGCAAGAGAACGGTATCACACACTCATGGTTTTGTGCAAGCGACCAGAATGTCGTGAAAGTCTCTCTAGAAGAAGTACTCAATTGTCAGGCCTACATTCTTTTCTATACAAGGGTTGAACAGTCGAAGGCCGAGTCATACTGCTTGGCCACTTCACCAACGACAACGGAAGATGACTACTTCGACTACGTCAAGTCCAAGTCTAGTGCTAATGTGGCGCAAAAGAACTTCCATAAGTTCAAGGGAAAGAACATGGTCATTCAAACTATCAACTTCAAGAAGAAGAAGAAGAAGAAGAAGCAAAGCAAAGACAATGATTTTTGCTATGCGTGTGGTGAATCTGGCCATTGGACTGTCAACCGCAAATTTCACAAGGGTCAGCAAGGACATAACTGAAAATCGGCCAGTGTCACCATGAGCAACACTGATTATGGTAATTTACCAACTTTCCTTTCGGTTTATTAGTCTATCGCTTGGTGGATTGACACTAGTCCCAATATTTATGTGTGCATGTATGCTGATATCTCGTTTTTTTCTGTTACTAGGTCGCTCATGATTCCACCATCGAATAGTTTGCATGCTTCGGTGTCGGCACGATAGATTTGATGTTTCTTCAGGAATGATAGTTGGGCTAAAGAATGTGCAGCATGTGTCCTCAATAAAAAAATGAATCACTTCTATGCTACGATGGGTTTCAGTTGGGATTTTGTCCACTCATGTATAAGTATGGACCTTTTATTATTATTAAATAACACGGAAAGGAAACAAGCTCCACTATGAGCTGGCTTCCTAGGAAACAAAATACTTTTTATAACAAATACATTTTATAAGAAATACATTTTCATTTCAGACTCCAGGGTTGCCCATTTTTTTGGGCTTCCAGCGTTTTCCTTGTTAGTTCAGGAGTGCATTTTGGGCAACTTTGATGATTTTATTTTGGGGGAGGAAGAAGAAGATGATGATGATTTTGAGTTAGTGACCACCGCGACCATTCAAGAGGAGGATTTTAAGAGACCAAGACATGGTTCTCAGATTGGCCGCATCCGGATTCATCGAGATAGGGCCAAGAGTCATGACACTAGTAGAAAACAAGGCTTTGGTGGAGGCCAGGATAAGGGCATTAATCCCGGTTCACTTACGATCCCGTTTCGTCTGGCCCCTTTGGTCCCGGTTCCAGGCACGAACCGGGACCAATGGGCCTCGCTCCTGGCCCAGCACCTTTAGTCCCAGTTCGTGGCTGGAACCGGGACCAAAGGTCAGTCTTCTGTCCCGATTCTAGCCATCAACCGGGACTACAGATATGCCTATATATACCCCCGCCCTTGCCCGCTGACTCCTCTGTTTTTTGGCCGGCCGGCGTGTGCAAGTGCGTGTTGCTCTGCTCTCACCTCCTATGCACATGAGGTGTTCGATGAAATGCCCGAGCCATCACTACTAGGGAAAAGCCTAGCAGCAGCGCGGGTTTTGGGCCTATTAGTAGCGCGGGGGCCGGCGCTACTAATAAGGTGCTACAGCTAACGTATAGCAGTAGCGCGGGTGCCACCCGCGCTACTACTACGTCCTTTAGTAGTAGCGTGGATAGAAACCCGCGCTACTACTACCAGCACGGGTTTTTTTGAATTTTTTCGAAAAAATATTTCGATTTTTTCCCTAATTTTCAAATTTCTGAATTATTTTAACCTCAAATCTCTAATCACCCCTCATCGCTGCTCAATTTAATCTCTAATCACCCCTCATCATTCCAAATCATCTAACTTCCCGGACGGTCACCCTGAGCACGCTTAACTTCCGGGTTCTATTCTCCATCGTTTTCAAGTCTGCACTTGTTGTTTTCCTGACAATAGTAAGATGTCAATCCTATTAACCTCAGGAATTTTGCTTGAGCATGAAGTCACACATTTCACTATTTGAGTTTGAAACTATTGTTCTAAAAAAATAGTAACACTAATATTTCTTCAATAATTAGTTTGACCACAGTTTGACCACAGTTTGACCACAGTTTGGCCATAGTTTGACTAGATTTGACCAAAATTCAAAAAAACTAAAATAATTATTTAGTAACACTAATATTATAGAATAATTAGTTTGACCATTGTTTGACCACAGTTTGACCAGACAGTTTGAATTTTTTTCGATTTTTTCCACTCTAGATCTTAAAAGTCCCGTAACTTTTTTCTATTTGATTTTTGAGGATTTTGAAAATGTTTAACGGGGTTCCCCCTGTTAAATTCTTAGGGCCTCGTCTCCTTACCAAAGTTGTGCTCGATCCGGAGGGCTAGAAATTAAAAGGAAGAAAGACGAGAGTAATTAATATGTGTACATATA